TTAAAATTTCAATCGGCCCAACCTAAATCGGATACAATGTAAAATCTTCAAAGGGTATCCGACTGAGGTTCTAGCCGAATTGTACACAGCCCAGAAAGAAACTAAAACCTATAAATTGAAATAGGATTTTGTATATAAAAACATTAAGGCTCTGTTTGGGTCACGGGAATAGGGGTTTGAAATCAGAATTGGAATGGTCCAATTCCAATTATTTGGTTGGGTAGAAGAGTCTTATTCATGCTGGAATGATATTTCCTCATTTGAGGGAATGGCCATCCTCTGTCTCTCTTTTGGAAATGAAATTTCATTTCTATTAATTCTAATTTTCATTTTCATTCTTGTTTGAACTAAACAGACTATGAAAATAGACCATTCTGATTCTAATTTTGAAGGATTAATTCCGATTTTGACTATAAATCAAATAGACCCTAAGATAAACTTTGGCCAACAAGCAACAACAGTGTTCTCCTGCTCATAATGTTAAATGTTAATTAATTCACAAAATGATGATTAGGATATGAAGGCAAAGACAACGGCTGCAATAAAAAATTCTAGCGTTCAACAAACTATTAAAATTTGACGTGCAGCAAGACAAACTTTTTATAGTTCATTTTCAAAAGAAACTGAAAAAAAAAGAAAATTTTCTAAATAAAGGGATAGAGCAAAAGGTGAATTAGAGATGCACTACCGTTTAATATATTTTCATTAACAAATGAAACAAAAAAGATATGAGCAGATCCAATTTTAAATTTCGGTGAGATTTCTTGAAATTTGGTTTCAGGCATAGCAACAGGAATTAAATGTGAAAAAAATGACCAAAACTTCAACAAAAGAATATTTATAGGTGTAAATGGCGGCACGGTCTGACACGATTTTGAGTCGGCCCGGCATGGCACGACAGAGCAGACTGTGGGGCTCACATGTCAGCACGGCCCATATTTATATTTTATATATAATATATATATATATATAATGTATATGTATATTATATATAATATATTAATATATAATTTTATTATTATATATAAAACAATTGTATACATCAAAATTCATATAAAATAAAATTTTAAGATCCATTTCTATTTTTTGTATATATTTTTTAATTTATGTTAAAAATTTCATTATATTTTCAAAAATTAAAAAAAAAACATGGTTTGGCCCAACCTGGCCCAAGGCTCGACCCATGGACTAGCCAGCCCGTGGCACGACATGGCACAGGCCCGCATAGGCTCGAGCCATGGGCCATGTCAGGCCAACCCCCCAAAATATCCAAGGGGAAGGGATACATGGCCTGACTCGACCTGCGAACCGGCACAACACGGCCTACACTTTGTATGAACCACATGTGGGTCTTGCCGTGTCGGTCTTGTATGACCTGATTTACACCTCTAGGAATATTGACATCTGAAAGGAATGGCAATTCCACGGGAATTTTTGGATACTCCCAACCTGTTCCGCCCCTAGCTGGACATAAAATTCTATAAGATTGACTTTAGGGTACCCAATTATAAATCCATATATATTAGATATTTTATAAAAATAATATACATAGTAAAAAATGTTAAGAATGGATTTTTTTTTTTATATAACGTTAAGAAAGGATTTGAACCCTTCACCGTAACCTGTCCGTCCATTGGTCCTACTTGAACCCAACCCATCTGTTAGATCTAATGGCACACTAAAGTCACCTTGTAGTAGGACAACAATTTTGGAAGAATACATTGATTTCTTTGTTTATATATCAGTATTATTTATCAATTCAGTATTTTTTACTTAGCTTTTGGCTGATTTATATACGTTTCTGGAACAAGTCAAATGATCTCTTGAATTGAGTTAGAACTTTCTGTGACAGTTTTCTACTACTTTACCGAAGTATACTCATCGGTTGCTCAAAGGAGTCTAAAGAGATTTTGTCAGGTAATTCTGAACACCAGTAAAGTGTCTCCTTGCATGTAAATCTATTCAAACTTTTGAATATTGGCTTTAAACTTCTGTTTTTTTTTTTTTTTTTTCTTGCAAATGTATCAGTTCTCTGGCTAGTTTTATATGCATGGCATTCTTTCATTTATAGATAGGTTCTAGAGTATCACCACCATGCTTCTAGGTTTAAACTATGCTAGACTTAGGCATATTGGTAGGCTGGTTCTTGGTGCTTGCCATTTTTTTCCTCTTATATTGTCTTTGGTCATCTATCTTTAGCTGATAGGACTGTGAATGTATTGATCACAATGTTGGTTGATGCAGATCAGGACATACGGTTATACAATTAAAACAATTTAAGCTTTCCAGCTTAAAATCTTGTAAATTATATAACAACATTTCGAAATTAGTCCAGACCAACTCCCAAGTCTATGCAATTCTGAGCTGGTAAGTCATCGCACTAAAAGTAAAAGCTGGACTTGTAGATGAGTTGCATTAAGTAATTTTTTGCCATCAATCCTTATTTTAATTAAATGAAAGGTGAAATTTCAATAATAAATATTTTGCAATGCATTTCTAAACATACATTCTTAAAGTCAAGATAAATTTTAAAAACATATTAAAGGCAAGCATATCTAAAACACGGCTTCATGAAAGCAAGATACTAATATATACAGGGGTTCTAGAATCCACATTTACTATTATGGATTAAACAGCCTTAACTAACCAAATAAATAAGCACATCTACTCAAATCACACAAGCATCAGTAGACAAAAATTCAAATTGAGTAGCGGAAATGGAGTGCCAGGAATGAAGCTTCGATTGAACTCTCTGTCTTCACCGCAAACTCTCTGGCTTCAAATCCTCAAAACGGTGGGTATTTGATTGAACTCTCTGTGTACACTGCAAACTCCCTGGCTTCAAATCTTCAAGTGGGGTATTCACAAGTTCATTGCTTCAAATCGACCTCTTTGAATCAGTCGAGTATTCAAATCGACCTCTCTCCATCGGTCTAGAATTCAAATCAACCTCTATGTTCGTGGCTTCAACTATTCATCGCTTCACAGTTCTAGCATTGAGAATGAAGGACACGAAGTAGTTCTCTGAACCGGTCAAGAGAGAAGGATAGGCTCGAAGAAGCAAGAAGATAAATGGCATGAGATTAGGGATTTAGTTCTCTGAATCGGTGGAGGGAGAAAGATGTATATTCTCAAAGGAACCAAGAAAGTAATGGCACCAAGATTCATGGAACCGAAGATTTTTTAGTGAGGGATTCGTCGTTTGGCATTAACGACCCCCTCTCTTGGCGCAACTTAACCATTTTGGTGGGACCCTTAAAATTATATCTCGATTTTTATTATTTTTAATTTTATTTGCCAATAAAAAACGCTGGGATGTGTGGTGCGTTATGTGATCCCTGTTTTAATTAAAATTTGACCGCCGGCTCCCAAACAGGTCATTTTTTTGTTCGAATTTGCCGATCTTTCCTAACATTAGATAAGACCGCCAGAAAAAAACCACCAGCCTAAGCCATTTTTCTTGTAGTGGTGGCAATATGGATTGATTCAAAATAGTTTAATTTCTTATTACCATCTAAATGAAAACACTATTTTTTCTAGGTAGATTTTAAAAATATAAGATTTTATATTATTGGAATTATTAATTTATTAAGTATAGATATAGTTAATTGAACTTAACGATAAAAAAAAACAAAAATGACTTAAATATATGATTCAATGAACATAAATACAAATTAATAACTTAAATGTTGGATTTAATGAGATGGAATTGAATATTTGAATATGTTAAAATTATAAACATAAAAAAATGTATAAACAGCATTTCATGGCCATTAAACGCCATTTTCTTTGCTGCAAATAAATTGCCAAGTCTATAGAGGTTTTCACACGAGCATTTTATAAACAAATCAACGGAGGCATTTGATTGTAGCATTTATAAACAAATCAATGTTTCTAATGGCAAGGGGTTTCAATCTATCCATGTTCATCATAGGAATAAAAGGAGGAAACGCAAGAATCATACCTGATTCCTTGCAAAATCCACTGGTAGAGGCATTTGATTCAAAGCAAACAATAATAAAAGAAAAAAAAAATGAAGAAGGGATGAGATGAAGTGGTTAGAATCAATAATCAACAATCATCCTTTTGTGAAATAAAAACAACAAAAAAAAAAGGCTGAAAATGGAACTTGGTTGTAGCCTGTTACCATTGCAAGTGACGAAAAATGAGAATAGAGAGGAAAAGTGAGGAAGAAGATTGGGGATTTGGGGGGAGGGTTTTAGATTTGATGGGACAATTTGGGTATTTATAAAAGTTTAAATGGGCAAAATCAGGACACAGAAAATGAAGAAGTGCTTCTTGGAAACGTAAGAAGCAATAAGCCGCTCATCAACTGCTTTTTCAAATGGGCTTTTTCGATGGGAAAAAAAAAAAAAAACCCATTTACTACTTTCTCACTAAGCAATTTTTGAAAGTGCTGTTGGCTTTTAAAACGCAATAAGTGCTAAAAGCACTTATTTTAAGCCACGCCAAACATGACCTTGGAAGAATTTTTGAGTCCAATACCAACAGGTGTGGCTTGTACCTTGTAGCTTGTTGCCTTGACTACAACATTGGCCTTGCCTCCTTTTTTGGGTTTTTATTCCCGGCCCACATCTGATCATTATGAGTCACGACTCGTGGCCTATTTTCTTCAGCCGATCACGTGAGACATCTCAAAAGCAGGACTGCAACTTTGATGTGGGCCAGCCTGAACCCGACTCACCCCAATCATATTATGACACTGACTGGATTGGGTTTACAAAAATCAGGTTGGCCAACATAGGGTTCAACCTAACCCGGTTCTGGATGGATTGGGGTTTGGGCTGAGGCCTCAAGGCTCAAGCAAATTAATCCAACCCAAACCTGGTCCTTCCTTAGCCCAATGCAATCCCATAAAGAAAATTGGGCTATTCGAGTTGGGCTTAGTTGATCTCAACCCGGCCCGAGTTGCATCCCTACCTATTATTAACAAAGGTCGGGTGGTGACAGACCGACAGGAGATGAAAAAGAAAGAACAAAATGACCGCTATGTCCAACTCGGTTTCGTAGCGCAAAACACGAATAGCGAAATGCGTGTACATTACACACGTTCACTGTTCAACATTCTCCTTTCTTTCGCGGGTTCGATACATCATTCCCTCTCGACAGCAGCGAAGAGGGCATAAGAATTACCAGAATTTGGTAAATAAATCCGAAGAAGAAGAAGAAGAAGAAGAAGAAGAAGAAGAAGAAGAATGGCGCAACTTGCAGAAACATATGCATGTGCCCCCTCCACGGAGCGAGGGCGGGGGATACTAATCTCAGGCGATCCAAAATCGAATGCGATCCTCTACTGCAATGGAAGATCCGTGATTATGCGCTACCTCGACAAGCCTCTCGAAGTTTCCGTATACGGTGAGCACGGTTACCAGGCCACCGTCGCTCGGTTCTCTCCCAACGGTGAGTGGGTCGCCTCCGCTGATGTGTCCGGAACGATCAGGATCTGGGGGACACACAATGATTTCGTCCTCAAGAATGAATTTAAGGTTCTTTCCGGTCGGATCGACGACCTCCAGTGGTCTCCTGATGGTCTCAGGATCGTCGCTTCCGGTGACGGGAAAGGCAAATCCTTTGTTCGTGCTTTTATGTGAGTTCCATTTCTTAACTCCGTCAATGAACTCACTTGTCTTGGGTGTTGTTGCTCTTGCTTCAATAGAAATAGGGAGAGAAAAAAAAATGTAAATTTTTGAAAATTTTAACGTTTATTACTTATAAAAAAATTAATGTTTATTACTTTAGAAGAATTAAGAATAGCATTAAGAATGTTTTAATTATGGAAGAACTGATTCAAAATTCTGATAAAGTCAATCAAATCAGAATATGAAATTAGAGTAATTTGATAGTTAATGACATCAAGTGAATACAACACGTTATTTGAGTATTAGTTAATAAAATTTATCTTGTAGGCATTGGAAATTATTTTAGCTTTCTCTGTAACACGCGTATGTGTTACATACAGATACATGAATATGTACATGCGAACGTACATACAGAAATACTTCGTGTATATGCATTTATGTATGCATATGTGTATATATACCATCTGAAGATTTCCCTCTGTTCTCCATCAACTACTTTAAGAAAGGAAATAGCCTAAATGCTTGGCCTATTGAAATTGAATTACTAATTTTCCAATTTTATATTTAATCTCCGCCCAATGACTCTTTCCCTTAATTTCCTACAGTGTCCAATAAATTTCACCCCTGATGGTACTACTCTATGTCTGTTTTTATCTTACACCTAGATATAATGGCGCTTAGGGGTAACTAATCTTTCTGAGTAAGATAATGACCTCTAGATTTTGTTACATGCCATAGTCTACTGTTTTTTTCCTCCATTTTAGGGAAGAAATATGGAGTACAGACAGCTCTTCAGAGTTCAATATATGCTGCATTTTGTTTCCTTTTCTCATAGGCATCCTCTCTTACTATAAAATAATCAGGGCACACTAATTTTGCAGGTGGGACTCAGGCTCTAATGTCGGGGAATTTGATGGTCATTCAAGACGAGTATTAAGTTGTGCTTTTAAGCCAACAAGACCATTCCGTATTGTCACATGTGGTGAGGATTTTTTGGTGAACTTCTATGAAGGACCACCGTTTAAATTCAAGCTGTCTCACAGGTATGCTCTGCCAATTATAGATATAACTGTTGTATTTCTTTATTTATTTTTTGAGTAGTATATGACTTCTAATTTTATGAGATGCATTTCATATCTACGTGTGTTGGTGGTTGCATATACCTGTATTGGCTTTCCTCCAGAATAATACATATATGGACTTGCAACCCACTGGATGCCACTGAATGCACATCCAGTGGCATTTGGTGGCTATGCATGTGCAGAAAATGCAAATCCAACAGATCCTATAAAATAATATAGAAGATTAGAGAGGTAAGATTCTTGTGTTCCAGAGCAAACACCTTTGTTCAACGTGATTTGTAGATCAGCCAACAGTCTTGTGAGAGCAGAATGCTAAAAGTCAACAACATGACCTAGTAACTGTGGTACATGCAGAACATGCCTTTTTCATATGTGAAAAACTAGATCTTATTCCATTTAGTCCTGTGCTTGGCACAACTCCACTGCTGAACTTAGATATATCATTTAATTGTTTTCTCCTGAGGTGGGATTTGGCTTGCAATTCCCCTTTTTGTGGAACTTTTTTACACTTGAAAAAGGTCTAACAAATTGCTTCAAGTTCAGGGAACTCACTGCAATGCTGTAAATAAAATGCTTGAACCATTTGTCTGCAAGCTTTCTTATGGACGGTCTTGTTGATGCAATTAAGCCCCAATTTCTTCGGGGCAGGCTATTGCAACTTTAAATTCAAGGCTGCTTAGATGTGCATGACTCTTGTTTCGTGAAATACCGAATTCATGAAATGCTCTTTCTTTTTCTTTTTTCCGATATCCACAGGGACCATTCAAATTTCGTCAATTGTATAAGATTTTCTCCAGATGGCAGCAAGTTTATCAGTGTGAGTTCAGATAAGAAGGGGATAATATATGATGGGAAGACTGGGGAAAAGATTGGAGAGTTGTCCTCTGAAGATGGCCATAAAGGGAGCATTTATGCTGTTAGTTGGAGTCCTGATAGTAAAGAAGTAAGGGTTTCTGGAGCTTAGATATTTGCAGTTGAGTTTATAGACATGTTTGGTGTATATGATTAGTTTAAGTTGTCCTATATCCATTTTAGTTTGTAATTTTTTGCTTCACTAGTTCTCCTTATTATCTTCACTAGTAATAGTTTGAAGAAGCCTTCTGTGAATGCACTCCCATACAAAGCAGAACTGCATTTTAATTTTTTTTGATAAGTATGCTTTTTTTTTAATTAACATAATATCATGATGCAGCCATTACAAGGACAGTTTATCAGCAACAACAACCAAATTGTTGGCTTTCTATTATAGGAATTCAACTCCATGATTCCAAGAAAAAATGTTCAAAACTTCAAGATAAAATCAGAGAAGACTAGTTTAACATCAATTATAGCACCTGGCTATTCCCAACATCCTAGTGTCAATATACAAACACTATCTTCATTACCAAAGCCTTGCCATGTATATTTAGGTTTGGCTACACAAATCTTCTATTTTGCAGCTCTATTCATCTAGGACCATATTCTCCATCATTCAAAAGCTACATATACTCCCTTCGTCATGGCTACTTAACAAGCTTTTGTATCTTTACCTTTTGGGACCAGCAATTTCATTTCTACATGAACATCTGAAAATTTCAGACTTGGCCTTAAAATTATGTCTTTTCTTGAAATATGTAACTTAGTAAAATTATGAATTGCAACTCAGGGATTTTACATTCCTAACAAGGTGAAACAGAACTGTGTGAGTGGAATTTCTCCATCCATTTCCTTTTATTTACTTGTTTGTCAGTTTACCTCTTCTTAATCGTTCCCTTTTTATTGGAGAACTGCTAAAAATCATCTCATGGTAGTACTAAATAGGTGATTCTTTTTTCCTTAAATGAATAAGAGCATAAAATTTGGATATTATATTAATGACATCTAGAAATGCTATAGTGCTCGTTTGGGAGGGCTTTCATGCAGTAGCTTCTGGCTTTGCAATGTAGGCCCCACATGGAAAGCCCAGAAGCTATGTTTGGTGAAAAACCCAGAAAGCTTTTTCATGCTTTCTTTCAGTCAAGAAATTGACTTTCTTGTGAAGCTACTTTTAGTAGCTTCTTCAAAGTGGCTCAGTGAAAGCAGCTCAATCAAAGCTGAAGCCCTCCCAAACAGGCCCACAGAAAGCAGGTAATTGATTATTTTTATTGTATAATTATACCGATGTGTGTGGTTAGATTTAAATTTCCGTCACCCTGGATACATGTGTCAGAATTTACTACTAACCTATGTGGCTGAGCATAATTTTGCTTTTCTACTATAAGCATATTCTTAGTTTCTTACTTGCATAGTTGTGCACTGATCTAAACTATGAATCTATTGATATTAGGTACTGACTGTGTCTGCTGACAAGTCTGCCAAGATATGGGAAATTGCTGATGATGGTAAGCTTGGAACAGTGAAGAAAACATTACAATGTCTTGGCTCAGGAGGAGTAGATGATATGCTGGTTGGATGCCTTTGGCAGAATGACCATCTTGTCACAGTTTCTCTTGGTGGAACTATTAGCGTATACGCAGCAAGTGATCCTGATAAAAGCCCAGTTTGTTTCTCTGGGCACATGAAGAATGTTTCGTCACTATCTGTTCTCCAAGGCAAAGCCATCTTGTCTAGCAGCTATGATGGTTTGATAATCAAATGGATTCAGGGCATGGGATACAGTGGTAAATTAGTGAGGAAAGAGAATGCTCAAATTAAATGTTTAATTGCTGCTGAAGGAGAAGTTATTTCATCTGGATTCGATAACAAGGTGAAAAATGTTTGCTGAAAAATGTTTCTATATATTTCTCATTTTATTTGTCCATACTCTTTCTATTCTAGTACAGTTTTATGCATAAGTCTCTATCCTTATTCAGCAATCAATTTATAACCACCTTGGAGTCACCTTCAATGATTAATTTCTCCATTCTCATCTCCATAGCTTTTTGCACTCCATAAGTTGCAGCCTTAAGTTCTGCTCTTATTGAGTCACCTACTTCAATTGGACCCAAATGCATATATATATGATATTAAATCTTCATTCTCAAACGCCCCTCTTATCCCAAAAGGCCAAAAGGCCAAAAGGCCCTGGATTCCCAAAACTGCTGCTGTCAAAATTAAGTTTATAAATCCCTTTGTGGTGCAGTCCAATTTCTCATCATCTTTGCTTTCTTTGAACTGTTATCTTTTCTGCAGAGTTGAGGCATTGAGGCCAAGTAGAGCCCTTTTTCCCTTGACGTAGGTGAGGCACCTGTTGCTGCCAACTGGAGCCATACCTGTATCAGCACCCAACCTAAAACGCACCTTGCCTCTGTGTCTATTTGTGCCTCAGGCATGCCTTTTGAAACACTGGATGTGTTGCATTGTATGCATAATTATGAAAACTTGAGATTTTTTATTTAAAGGATCAATTTGCTGAATTCTGATTTATGAATTTGCCACATCAGCTGATTCCCTGAATCATGAATCATGTAAAAATTCCAATTTGGTAAGACCAATTCCTTGAAAATCAAAAGAGGAATCGTTGTGATTTGAGATGATGCCTGAAGATTTGGGACATAGCTTCATGAATTGGGGGGGGGGGTGATTTTCAAATTGATTTCTGGCATGGCAGTGACATGTCCATGCCAATAATGTGTAAATAAATGATGTGACATCATTTCTACCAAACACACTTTCTTGGAGAAAAACTGTGATTCACCAAACCCTTCAAAATCACTGATTCTTGAAGAAATGATTTTGATAAATTGTTTCCTCCAACCAAAGACTAACATAGTCCCAAATGGGTCAGCTACATGAATTCTGTTTCACCATTTTGTTCTGTTTAGTGACATATCCATTGTTAAATTACAGGCTTAAATGAATATCTTATTTTATTCATCTTATCTTCTATTATTGTATTATGAATAACTAGTTTTATGCATTTTTAAAATGTTTAAATATGTGCTTCCAGACACACATATAGATCACATTAATTATCAATGTCTTTGTATTTGGTTTCATGTCTTTCTGGCTTTAATATTCTCTTTTCTTTCCTCATAAATATAGGTATATAGAAATGCTCTTCTTGGGGATCAATTTGGAGATGCAGAACCTATTGATGTTGGAAGTCAGCCAAAGGACTTGAGCCTTGCCCATCTTTCTCCTGGACTTGCTTTGGTTTCAATTGATTCAGGAGTTGTCATGCTTCGTGGTTCAACAATAGTATCAACCATCAATCTTGGGTTTACTGTGACGGCAGCTACAATTACACCTGATGGAAGTGAGGCGATTGTGGGTGGGCAGGATGGAAAGTTGCACATATATTCCATCACAGGTGATACACTTACTGAAGAAACAGTGCTTGAAAAGCATCGGGGTGCTATAACTGTCATATGTTACTCCCCGGATGTTTCTATGTTTGCGTCAGGGGATTCCAATCGAGAAGCTGTTGTTTGGGACCGTGTCTCTCGAGAGGTAATACAACAAAAGCTTGTGGTTTTTCCATTTTTTTAATGAATTTTCCATGTATTTTCTTTCCATGGAGGGAAAAATATGCATCGGAGAGGCTTCGGGTCAGATATCCCCTTCCTTGGGCAGGTTAGATGTTTGTGGTTTGGATCAGCTTAAATTACAATTAATAAGGCTCTTTAATCTGGTTAATGATAAAAATAATAATCTATATAAATATATTAAGCTGAAATGTGTACGAAAGAAGGCTTGAGGATGCAGGAATCGGAATCTAACAGTAACTTTTGCCTTTTTTTTCTTATAAATTACAGAAAGACCACATTAGGACAAATCTTCCAACTACCTCCACTCTCTCTCTCTCTCTTTCCTTTTCAGCAATCTTTTAACCAGTAGCCGGGGTAGCTCGGGTTAATCTTTTAACCGGTTAATGGCGTTCTCCACTCTCTCTCTCCTTTTCACATATGAAACCAATCAGCTGGGGTTATTCTTGTAGCCCGGGTTAATCTTTTAACCCGTTAGTGGCGTCCTCCACTCTCTCTCTCTCTCCTTTTTACGCATGAAACTAATCTCGAGATGATGGTATGAGCTAGTTACTTAGATTGGGCAAGGGGGATTAGCTATTGGGTTTTACGCATGAAACTAATCTTGAGACTTATGGTACAAGCCAGTTACTTAGAATGGGCAAGGGGGATTAGCTATTGGGTAAAATGTAAAATGTGGAAAATGACTGATTGGTTGGGTTTCAAACAGATGAATATGGGCTTAGAGAGAGGAATACAGGTAGAAAGGAAGAAAGAGTAGGAAACACGAAACTGTATGTTTTTTTTTTTTTTTATTTTCTATTCATTAATTCACAATAGAAAAAGATATCGTATTATTTTGTTTTTTTATTTTCTATTCATTAATATTATTTTGTTTTATTTTTATTTTCTATTCATTAATTCACAACAGAACTAACCCAATGGGTCTCATGACAACTATAGAGTGCCATTAAGACAAACCTTCCAACTTGTAACTAACTCTATCATATTTGAAAATTACAAGAGTGCCATATATAATTAGTTAGATTATGCCATCCTATAAAACAAAATGCCATCCCTATTCTCTCTCACCTAATTCTCTCCTCCTATTCTTTAATCTTTATCTCAACTTTTATTTATTCATTTATTTTTTTATTATTATCTAAGCATTTATTTATTTTATTATTATTTATGATTATGCCATCCTATAAAATAAAATTCCATCCCTCTTCTCTCTCACCTAGGGGTGCAAGTCGGGCGAGTTGGGTCATGTTTATGGTTAACTCGGGCCCAACCCTAAAGGTTGGGCTTAAGGCCCGAGCCTAGACTGGGCCCAAGGTCAAGCCTGATTTTCCCAACCTAAGCCCGGTCCACACTGTAATATGATGCACTTGGGTTGGGTTTGGGCTTGGGCTGGGCTCGGGTTGGTCAATGAACCCAATCTAAAATTATACATATATTAATGCAAATATGTATACATATATACATATATGTTTATAGTTGGGCCGGGCTCAGGCTACCTAAGGGCTAGGTCGGGCTGGCCTGAAAAGTAAAAAAGCCCGACCTTTTGGGCCCCATCCTAGCCCGAGGACCAAAAATCCAAGCCCAGCCCATGTAAAATTTTGGGTTGGGCCAGTTCTCTCTCCTTGCTATTCATTATCTCAACTTTTATTATTCATTTATTTATTTTTCTAGTATTATCTAAGCATCTATTATTTTATTATTATTTATGATTATGTCGTCCTATAAAATAAAATTCCATCCCAATTCTCTCACCTAATTTTCTCTCCTATTCTTTATCTCTACTTTTATTTATTTATTATTATCTAAGCATTTAATTATTTAATAAAATTAAATAAATTAATTATAAATCAGTAAAATAAAGGAGATTTGACATTGAGAGAGACTTTTATTTATTCATTTATTTATTTTTTACTATTATCTAAGCATTTATTTGTTTTATTATTATTTACGATTATGCCATCCTATAAAATAAAATTCCATCCCTCCTCTCTCTCAACTAGGGGTGCAAGTCGGGCGGGTTGGGCCGGGTTCATGGTTAACCCAGGCCCGACCCTAAAAGTTGGGAAGGCCCAAGCCCAGACCAGGCTCGAGGTCAAGCCCGACTTTCCCAACCCGAGCCCAACCTG